CTAATACCTGACACCCCACGGACACCCCACTGACACCCCACAGCCCTCTAACACCCCTCTACTACCTGACATCCCACTGACACCCCACTGACACCCCACTGACACCCCTCTAACACCCCACTAACACCTCACTAACACCCCACTGACACCCCACACCCCTCTAACACCCCTCTAATACCTGACACCCCACTGACACCCCGCTATCTGACGCCCCCTCTGACGCCCCCCGGCCTCACAGCGCTCTTCGCGCCGCACGCCGTGCCCGACCCCGGGGCGCGCTGCCAGCGGCTCCTTCGGGCAATTTCCCCGACTCCTGCCGCGCTTCGGCCGCTTGCCGATTCCGGGGAAGTAGAAGCTGGGGGAGGGGGGCAGTGGCTGGCTTCGGCTCGGGAAAGGCTCGGGAGGCGGAGCGCCGCCAGGCCGCCCTGCCCTCGGCCGCCGCTCGGGCCTGGGGATCGCTGCCCCGGCAGGGCTCGCGTTGGGAGCACCACGTTTCGAACACGTGTGTAGACCACTGTGTAGAGCCTTCCCCTACCCCTTCTCCTCCCCCTATTCTTCTCTTCGAGGGGAACTGGAATCCGAACGGTGAGATGTAGAAGAGCGCGAATCCCCGTGAATCCCATCTGAATAAATGTCTATATTAATGAATTATTAACTCGGCCGCTCGTGACCTTAAAACTGGAATGAGGAGACGCCTAGGGCAAGAAGGAAAGCTGCTGAATCCTTTATCGGACTCCTGTCAGAGGTAACCGACCATTTGTCTTTCCCAGATCAGGAGAATTAATTAATATGAAAGGCAAACTTTTTAATTGTGTGTCAAACGAAATCAGATAGGGTGTCCCCGATTCAATCCCTTGCTAAAAGGGTTTTAGCTCCCTTTTCTAACTCAAGCCTAAAATAAAGCCTTCGAGTTTTCAAAGAGAAGGGCATCTTTCATAAATATTGTTTACAAAACAAAACCCAACCAAGCAAGAGAAAAAAAAAAAAGAAAGAAAAAAAGAAAGAAAGAAACCAGAAAACCCCACAAAACACAACCAAATACCCTAAAAGGAAAAAAAAAATCGCAGGGAAAATGATGAATTTGGGTAGTTAATTTATCGATCTTGGCTCCTCTTCCCGCTTGTTTTATTTTAGAGGTCATTAATCAATGAAGAAAAACACCACCGTGTTCCCCCTTTGCATTTAATACATTTACCCTCCTTATTTATTTCTTTTGAACAAATTCCTAGCAAATATTCACCAATCGATTCGTAGGCGATGGATTTTTATAAAGGTTTGATCGCCTTCTAAACAGTCAATGTGATTTGTTTCAGCACTCGTCCTCTAAATAATGAAAAAGCCTGAGAGAAGAGGAAGGAGATGGCAGTAGTTAAAGCTTCCTTTCTTTTTTCCCTCTCATCTTTACATCCAGGAGGAAAGAAATAAAATAATTTTTTTAAATTATATTTTTAAAAAAGCCAAACTCACAGCAAGAGCACACCCAAGAAATAGTAACAAATAGACCAGCTCGGGGGAGACAGCAGGGACGCGCACAAACCGCTCTGCCTGGGGAAGCGAGACCAGAGGTCAGGGTTGGCTAAAGTCACCTCGGGGAGGTGCAGGTTCAGGGCTGGGAGCCCTGCTGGCGGATCTGCCTGCTGGCTCTTCCCGGGGGAGTGGAGGGGCCGGCAGCGGAGATGCTTTGGAGAGACGGGGCGAGAAGCCGTCCCCTGCCCTGGCGAGGCGCGCCGCTGCCTTCCTGGCCGGCCCGGCGCACGAGCCCGTCCGTCTGTCCCGCCCGCCGCTCGGCAGCGGCGCTGACCCGCGGCTCACCGACCTTCCCCGCCGGTGCTCTCCTCCCTTCCCACCCTGCGCCGAGCGGACCCGCGCAGAGAGGCTCCTTGTGACTGAGGACAGAAGCGCAGGACGAGGCGCAGCGTGCCCGGCGCCCGGGCGAGCGGCCGGGCGGAGCAGCGGGCAGAGCCGGCCCGGGCTGCCGAGGGCACCGGCGAGCCCGCGGACCGGCAAGGACGGCGAGCCTTCCTTCTTCCTCTCCTCTGGTTCGGCAGGGTCTCGGAGCGCCTAGGGACTCTGTAAATCTTATCCTGCCACCTTGACAGCTTAAAGCGCTACTTTTCTGTCTGTTAAAAAAATGCCAGAAGCAACAGATTGAAGTACTCCTGAATATGAACCCTCATGGAATACTTCTGTTAACAACTCGAAGCAATGCAGGTATTGACAATGTACTTAAATCCATTAGTTAGGCTCTTTCCTCTACTTCATCACATTTTTCTAGCGCGAAACGAATTTTTCAGATTCCTACCACCAAAAGAAATTCACTCTTTTCGAAAGAAGTCCAGTAAGGAAGACAACCATAGCACAGATGTGCACGTAAAGGTAAAATAAAAATAAATTAAAGAGTCAGATGGGGCGGAATAAAATTGTGACCAGGAGGGAGGTGGGTAGGAACGAGACGTTGTTTTAATGCAGAGAAAACAGAGAAAACCAAGCGCGCCCACTGCCAGTGCGCCCAACACTGACCGCCAGCGACGGCGCGAACAGACTCCCAGCCTCACCTCTGTCCCCGGGCTGAGCGGCAGCGCTGCGGAACTACAGAAAGAGGATTGAGAGAGCGAGAGGGATGAAAATTATTACATATTGCATCATGGAATTGATCAAAGATTTAAAGAAGGTTTTTATACCCAACTTTATAACCCCTAAAAATGGGTGCTGGGGGTGTTCCTACTCGTGTTTGCCTTTAATTTAGGTGTTATCAATCTATACAGCAGATGACGGATGACCTTGTCAAAATGACTCCAGTCAAAACATTTTTTGCCCCAGCCCTGTTCAAATTTGTGTTAAAATGTCCTGCCTTAGACACAGACAAAGTCTAAACAGCAGCAGCTTTCCCAGGCTCTGCGAGAATGAAGGGTGGGAAAGAAACAAACTAGAATCAGGGTGGGGAGAAGGGTGAAAACATATTACACGCTCACACGTTACGTTTGTAGGCAACTGTGCATTCAGTGTGCGTGTAACACCCGTCTACGATGGCCCTTCTGACACTAGAGAGATGTTTTGGTAAGATAAACAGTTCGTGCATTTTGTCCTCAATGCAAGGCATAATATGTACGAACCATATACCTAAGAATTATAGTTCTTGTCTGTTTTTTCACATGGTCCAGGAAAGAAACTGAAAAAAAGCCCCAAACTTGTTAAATACTCACTAATACATGAGCTCAACAACTGAGCAGCGGGGCGGGAAACCCAAGTTTCTAAGCAGAGTGGGGACGAAAAGTCACTAGAGATGAGAAGTTTCTCGCCACAGGTTGCATCTCCCTCTGGCATACTTCTTGCGCTGCGCTGTAACCCAGCACAAAGAGCAGGAGTGAGGCGCGCTAGTGGTGCCCGAGGATGCAAGGTCTGAGGAAGGAGAAGCTCTGGGGCGGTGGGTTCCCTCAGCTGTGCTGGGACTGGTCTCAGGTAGCCGAGGGGAAAAGGAGGCATGTCACCCAGCACACAGCACCAACTATCTGAGACAGTACCGGGACAGGTCGGGTAGGTGTCTAAAATCCACGCCAACCCCCGAGGGGGCCAAAAGCAAGTAAGGCAAGAGCCTCACAGCTGACGGGAGACTGGCCGGGTGCGAGGCGCTTGGGCCGGCGGGGTCGGGAGCTCCCGACGCTCGGCTCTGGGGTGGGAGCAGCGGATCCCGCTCGGGAGGGCGCCGGTCCACCGCTCCCCTCCGCCAAGGTAAAAGCCAAAATCCCAGCTCTCTAGCTCATTTAGGGGCGATTGTACTTCGGAGCTGGGGGGGGGGGGGGGGGGGGGGGGGGGGGGGGGGAGAGAAAAAAGAGAGGGAGGGAAGGAAACTGGAGGGAGGGAAACAGGAGAGAGGGACAGAGGTCGAAGGCTGGGGGGTGGGAGGGAAGGAAGGAGGAGGGAAGGGAAGAAAGGGGCACTTTAAAAGTTGAGCAAGGAACAAAGTGGAGGAAGTTGCCAAAAAAGAGCTCTGCATCCAGACTCGCTGGTAACTTCCCGATCCCTCCCCTCCTTCTCGTACACACCACACACACTTGTATTTTGCGCTGTCGTAAAACCCACGTGTCTCGCCCAGAGCCTGCCAGAGCCGAGCCGAGCGCCCGGCCGCGACTGCGATGCGCAGCCACAGCAGAGGGAGCCCGGTGGCTCGCAGCTAGCCGTCCCTCCGGTCCCCGGAACCTGGAGAAGGATCACCCCGCTCCCGCGTGGACAAAGACCGGAGAAGTCTTTGCTCCCGGCCGCTGTCCGGCTCGGAGGCTCCCGGAGCAGCCGACACCTCCGCACGCCGCCCGCGCAGCAGCAGCAGCAGCAGCAGCAGCCCTCGCCCCGCTCAGGTAAGGCAGGCGCGGCCCGGGGCCCCTCCGAGCTGCCCGGCACAGCGCGGCACCCGAGCCCGGGGCAGGGCACCGCCGGCCGTGCCCTCCGCCTGGGAGCGCCCGAGTGGGAAACAGAGCGGCCGGAGAGGAGAGGAGAGACCCGCGCGTGTGTGCGTGTGACTGAACTTTCCTCCGCCTCCTCCTCCTCCTCCTCCTCCCTGTTGTCAGCGGAGAGTCGTTTGCTTCCGCGGAGAGAGGGAAGGAGTGAAAAGGGAAGGCAGTGCGTGCGGCGGGGACGCGGTGAGCGGGGGCTCTCGGGCCGTGGGCCGGCGTGAGGGGCTGCCCGCCGCCACCGCCCGCCTCCTGCCCGTGCTCCGGGCGGGCACCGCGGCACAGCCGTGTCGCCCCGGCCACCACGTTTCTCGTCCTGGGGCTTTTCGGGACGAGGCTTTCTCCTGACGGATCTGGCCACGGACAGGGGAAGCGACGGGCGCACGGTCCCGCCGCCGATCCCGCACGGCCGCGGCGCAGAGCCCACGCGTGGCCCAGTGTGTCCGAGCGTCTGTCCGACCGCGTGTCCCACCGCGGGGGTCGGGCGGCCCTGCCAGGGCGGGGCGGGGGTCTCACGTCTTCTGTCCCCTTCCTCCCTGCTCCACAGGCAGAGCGATGCTGAAGCCCGGAGATCCCGGCGGATCCGCGTTCCTGAAGGTGGATCCCGCCTATCTGCAGCACTGGCAGCAGCTTTTCCCGCAGAGCAGCCAGCTCAAAAGCAGCGGGCCCCTCGCCCAGCTCCAGCCACCCGAGAGAGCCGAGCTCCCGGCTGACAGCCTCCGCCAGCGCCCGACCTCCCTCTCCTCCGCCTCCTCCTCCTCTTCCTCGTCCACTCCGTCTTCCTCCTCCAACTCGTCCTGCGTCGCTGCGGCGGCGGCTTCTCTGGCTGGCCTGACCTCCCTGCCTGTGACCCAGGTCCCGGTCTTCGGCCCGCTGCAGAGCTCGGAGCTCCCGGCCGGGGGAGCGCCCGCTCCCCTGCAGGGCAAGGATTTGTGCGGGGCCGGCAGCAGCGGCGGCAAATGCGGCGACCGTGGTGCCGCTCGGTACCGCTGCACGGCCGAGGAGCTGGACTACTACCTGTACGGGCAGCAGCGCATGGAGATCATCCCCCTGAACCAGCACACCAGCGACCCCAACAACCGTACGTATCGTGCCCCTTCTCGCCCTCCTCCGCCGCTTCCCCTCCGCGCCTGGGGCCAGCCCGGGGACGCTCCAGGCTGCGGGACCGCAGTCGGTGCCTGCACCGCTCTCACTCCTCCGGGAGCATCCTCCGTCTTGCCCTTCCCTCCCTTTAGTTTTTGCCTTGATACCAGTAGTTTCAGGAGACGGGCTGCAGCCCTTCAGTAGCAGTTTTTCTGGTCTGAAACCCGGGTCCTTCCCTGGGAGGCACGCTTCACCCGAAAGGCTGTGGTGGGAGTAGATTTCTTTCGGAGGCTGCTTAGGAAAACGGATTCAGCAAAAGTTCAGGGCGACTAGCTACAAAGCTGGTCCTTTCTCGCCTTGTATGTCCCACTCCATTCCTGCCCGGAAAGCCCGGGCTTCGCTGAATACACAGAAATCAATTACTCCTCCGAGCTGGGCAGGGGAAAAGTTGCAGTTTTCATCAGATGGTCTAGGGCAAAGTTTTCCTCTTTCTTATCTCGGAGTATCGTTTCCTTTCAGTCTTCGTTAACACCTCGTTGGTTTTAATTTCCACCCCTACGGAAAAGCATGACATGGTCATTTAAAGAGAAAAGCCGATTTTCTCGACGAAAAAGTCTGCACGAGTCAGAATTAATTTAGGACTTGGAGGTTCTAAAGAGTTTTATACTGCTGTTGCCTATTATACAGCTGGGAGGGTTTTTTTTGGGGGGGAGGGGGCGCCCCTATCATTATACATCTGTACGGATGAAAGGTTTGTAATTTTAGAAACTTCTGTCTTTTTTTTACCCTGTATCTATCAATACGACGCAACCGAGGAAATTCACGACATGAAAAGAACTATATGAACTCCTAATAGTTCATCAGTTTTATAACTAACATTCAGAGCACACGGATCTGGATCTGTCCCTCTTAAAACACATGGCTTAGACCCATGCACTTTAAAAAAAATATTATTGTTTCAAACACTCTCTTTTATCCTAAGGTTTCTTAAAACACTTTTTTTTTTTTTGGTTGTCCTTCTCAACCACCACCACTCCCCAAATGTCGGTTTAAGGAAGGCTGTTGAACAGAAAAACGGTACCCCAAACCAGCAGTCCTGAAACACATGCCCAAGCAAAACGCGGATTCGTTTAATTCAATTTCAGATGAGGAGCTTGTTTTGAAAGTTTCCCTGACATCCTGCTATGTATTAATTAAACTGCGTGGATGCTAGCACAGTCTTCAGCACTGTGCATATGTTAGGGGGAAAGCTGAATCGGGGTTTGGTGGAGATTTTTCCCGCCTTCTTAACATTTCCAATGCTTCTATATTGGTTGTCGACTTTATTTTGAGCGACTTCCTCATGCTTAGTCTTACCTTGTAGTGAAACTTGTTCGTGTATTTTGTGTTCTCGGGTGAAGAAAACGTGATGTTATAAATTACATGCAGAAAATGGAATCCGAAACGCACTTCTAATCGACAACCGAACGGTTCAAACAAAACATGTTTTACTTCTCGGAGTCGCTCTGTAAACCTAAAGGGTAAAGGTTTTAAAAGGAGAAAGGAATATTAAAAAGCGTTTTGGGGGTGGGGGGGATATTTTTAGGGACTGAGTGGAATAACAGCACCCCGCAGAGTCGGAGGCGAAGCCTGAATAATTTCTTCCCGAGCGCGGTATAAAAGGTGGAAGCTTCGGGGAAGAGAAGGGATCGATTGCGGAAAGGACGCTTGTGAATCGCGTCCGGCTCTGACGGGGCAGCCGTCGCCGTCGGAAGGACGGGCAGGGGGCGGCCAGCGCCCTCTCGACTTTTTTTAATGTTTGTTTTTCTTCAGTTAGATCTAAACATTCCTATAATTTACTTCTTTACAGGGCGGCTTTCGCTCTAGCGGTTATTAGTTACCTCTGAGCGAAACTTTCAACGCGAGTGTTTCGGTCTTCTGGGACCAAGCGCAGTTGCTTTGGGCAACTCGTGCTTAAAAAAAAATAAAGAAAAAAGTAAACTGTCAGTGAAGAAGGAGTGCCGCAGCTACAGCCTGTGCCGCGCCATGCACTCCCAGCACTCGCACGATCAAGGGAACAAGCTGCAGGGCACGGGCCTGGCTGCCCCTGCGCGGCTCCCCGAGTGCGGCCCGGGTCACGCTAGCGGTCCGTGGGCAGCGGGATTTCCAGCCGCCTTCACTCCCACCCTCACTCCCGTTTCGCATCATTCCCACCCTCACGCCCGTTTGAGGGGAAGGAGGTGGAGGCTGTGGGTGAGATGAGGTGCCGTCTACTTCACTTTGAGTCGTACTTGCTTGCTGCACTTTCCATCTGAGGACAGCCCCGAGGACACGCCGAGACGGGCCGGCTCTCCCCAGCCCGGCGCAGTCACCCGCCCGCCCAGCAGGCCTCCGTCTGTTTCTCGGGCTCTAATCCTAGCTGTACCTCCTTCACCAACCGAGCGAGTGCCCCGTCTCCCCTACTTTCCCAAATAATATCCCTCTCTCCATCCCGAGCATCCCTTCCTTTTGCGGGGCTCCCCGCGTGGCCCCGCTCCCCGGCAGGTCCCACCCGCTCGACAGAGGCGCCGGCCGACTTCGCGTGTGCCCCGGTGGTGCTGCGGGGCCGGGGCGGCCGCCGGGGCTGTCCCGACTTCCGAGGCTGTCCCGTCCCGGCTGCCGAGGCTGTCCCGTCCCGTCCCGTCCCGGCCTCCCCGCCCGGCCCCGCTCCCCAGCGCTCGGCCCGGCCCGGCGCCGGGCGGCCGCCGCGGGAAGATGGATGGGCGGCGGTTTCCCAGTAGACACACGCCTTGATCGTCAAATATCAATGAATATGGCACGGTCTTGGGCGAGGGAAGGGGCGGGGGCCGCCTAGGAGCTGTGGGGTAAGCGTCTATATGTAATTGTTTTAAATTGAAAGGGGGTAAGCTAGGGAAAAATAATGATAATGATAATAAAAAAGAAGCAATTAAGAGGCAAAACGCTAACTAGAGCCCAGCGGTCTTTACCCCCAGGGAAGTAAAGGGGATTATGCTAAAGCCCCGATAAAGTGGCAGGCGGCTGGGGACCGTTTGCTTTCCAGCCTTGAATCTGGAAGGACGAGGATATTTCTGGGCGCTGGGGGAGGGGCGCTGGGGAGATCTCCTCGGGTGAGCCCGGGGCTGCGGGACCGGCTGGTTCCCTCGGAGGCTTGCCCCGAGCTTCTGGGGAGACGCTTCCGCACGGAGAGCTCTGAGACTCCTCCGCCTTCGCCAGCAAGCACCAACCTGCCACTGTAATAAATACGCTGTGCAAAACTGAAGTGTCACGCGACCAAGCACTTTGCACGCCTTTTCCCATTCAATTTATGGGGAGACAGTGTATATATAACATGCTGTGAAGTGGATCGGTGTGGAAAATATTCGGACTTTTTTTGTTTTCCTCTGGACTGCTGGTAACCTGTATGATTTAGCTATTTTACATCATTAGTTACCCAGCACTCTTAAATATAGCAGATAGCCATACATTAGATTGAGGTTAGAGAAGGTGGTGACTGTTTATTTAGGGTGATAAAATGGTCCATCAGCAGTAATCTCCATCGATATGTGCCACCAGGAGATGAAGGATGAGGGGACAAGCCACAATTAATTGCCCTATAGTTTTGTAGGAGAGAGTGGAGCCGGTGCGGGCTGAACTTCGATCTCCTCTCCTGGCGCCTATTCATCATCTCTACATTGTATATGGGGGTCTCTCAGGGGCAGAGGGTGGCAAGGTTTATCTACACACAATATTCTCCTACCCTTCTCATACCTGACACGGAAATTTAATTCATTCATACCTACAGAAGGCAGGGAAAATCAAACCCATCTCCCTCAACCCGCCCCCCACTCGCCTCTTAAAAATGACCCGAAAGCCCCTGACCCACTCCGGGGCGCCCGGGCGCTCTGGGGAAGGAGGAACAACCTCCGGGGTGTGCCTGAGCCCCGGCCGGCAGTCGCGGAGCCCGCGGCAGCTCCTGCGCTGCCGCCCGAGTCGCCGGCGCCCTGCGCCGCGGGGGAACGGGCAGCGAGGCACTGCCAGGGCGCTGCAGCCCTGCGAGACGGGGCTCGGGCCTCCGGCACCCGGGCACAGCCCTGGGTCAGCGCGCCGGCCTTGGTCCCGCTCTCTGCAAAGAGTCGTTAGAATTAATAACTAAATAAATAGAGGGCACCCGACGGGAAAACGCATCCGTGTTTCGTACCCCCGAAAGCCTGCCTCCAGTGAGGCAGCCTGATAGAAACTGCCAATAATTTGGTGAAAGGAGGTGGGTGCCAGTTCATCGATGAGGAAACTGAAGTACGAGAGAGGGTGAGCTTCCCTGGAAAGCTCCAGCCCTCAGGAAACCGACAGAAAGAGTCTCTTCCAGACCTCCCTCCTGCTTAGCTGGGTACCCGGGCCCAGACAGGGATGCAGGGCCAGCCGTAGTGATTTATACTTGCAAGTGAGTAATACCATGTGAAATGATGGCCACTTGCACTGGATACCTGCATGCTTGTAGTGAATTATGAAGCAAAGGGTCAGAGGCCACCCTTCTTTAATACCAGCAAACTGCAGGTATCCAGTCTAACTGCACCTTTGAAGCATATTATTGCTGAGGAAAAAATGTATTTCTTTCATTTATTGTTACAGCTGGTTTGGTGGTAAAAACACTGTGTTAAACCCTAGTTTCACTGACGAAAGGTGTTTTCTTTCAGATTTGCTTTAAAGTGTGCAGTAGTAGTGTTATTTATGTTGGTGTGTGTTTAAAATAACATTTTGGGGGCAATGATATGTCCTTTTGCCTAGGTTTAGTACTTTTAATGTACTCACATGGATTTATAGTATTGGCATTACACTGTGTTCATTTTTCTGGAGGCACATAAACAGTAACATCTTCCAATCCTTCCACAAGAACCATGCCAAACAGCTCCTCTAGGAAATCCTCTAATTTTCTTTTTCTTGCATCTTCCTTTCCTTAATCCTCCTTATCTATAGAATATGAAGGTATAAAGACGGAAATTGATCTTCCAAAGTGTTTGGCTGTATCTGGGCTTGTAATGCAGTATTCCCACTGACTTTACCTTCTACATCTCTAGATTTTATCAGGACATACTCTGCTCTGGCTGCAGTCCTACTTTATTTTTCCATTTTCAGCAAGTCCTCCAATTTTCTTACATTTCTTGCTTCTTCTTGACTTGATTTGGGGCTTAACTTATGCTATTGCGGAAAGTAGAATTATCCATTTCAGCTGTTCTCAGTGAAGCCCTGTACTCACACTCTCTGAGGCCAATACTGGAGGAAGGGCACAGGACACCTCTCCTTGTCACCCTATCTGGCCATGCTCTGGGAAGTTCACACTTTTAGAAGCATAATTTTTGTGTGAACCCCCCACACCAGTGTGGGTGATAATGGCCACTCTGGTGATGTCAGTGGACCTCAACACTCCCCCTCTCAAACCCCCGCTTCTTTTCCATGTCTTATTAAGCATGTTGGTGCAGTGTGCCACATTATGCTCTGCAGCATGCACAAAGGTGATGCTGTTCATCCTGCTGTGAGGCAGGATAGTGTGCAAGTCTTGGAGCTCTTGATTTTTTCCCCAAAATGATATGAAGGAAATCCTTCCCTTGCTCTCTGAGGCAAAGGAATACATTGCCTACAGTGGTGGTCTTTAAATGGACGCTTTCATGTATTACACTATTACACAAAAGTTAGTTACAGAAGAGGAAAAGATGCACAGTAGCTTTCTGCTCCAGGCATGGTAAAATATAGCTAGGATGGCTTCCATTCCTTATAACATTTATGAGAATTTTTAAAGATTTTATTTGTGCAATTACATAGCAACTAAAGCTAAATGTATGAAGCATGAAACTAAGAAGAATTTCAGTACTGCTTAGTATTAAAGACAGATTCCTCCCTTCTCATCAACAAGACATTAGCCAAAACAGTTTCAAAAGATGTTCCATTTTCCAAATTTTCAGCTTTGGCAGGACAAAGGGGAAAGGAACACAGCAGGGGATCAGATACTGTGACTGCCAAGCATTAAGACATTACCACTGTTTTTGGACACTGGAAAATAAATATCACCATGTGTGACTTTCTGTAAGGGTAAATGACAGTGACACGGGGTTTGTTTATACTCCTTGACAATTTCTTAGTTTCTTTTTCTTGGAAATGTAGAAATAAAATGTTTAATCCAAATTCATGAACACACATTGTCAGAATTAAGTTAAGGAATTATTGTTCTAGGCAGGTACTGAAATTTTTGTGTGTGAAAAGTTATGTATATCTGGTGGCCGTATGCAGGAACTCAACACTGAGATTGTCTGACTGGAGTAAAGAAGATATTGAGCAGGTTTAATGTAAATTTCTCCAGAGATACAATTCCTTAAGCCATTGTAATCAGCTAGTTATGAGGAGGGTTACGTATCCAGAAAATATTAAAGCAGTGCAAATAATTAAAATTCAAGGGCCTACCCTGGTGCTAACTGACATCATGGTTAGACATCATTTCTTTAAGCTCTCAGTTTTCCTGTAAGATTTTTTCTTTCTAACTTGCATGGGTAGATTGAAATCAATTGATTTCATAGAGTCATAGAACAATTTGTGTTGGAAAAGATCTGTGAAGTCATCAAGTCCAACTGTAGATCATAGAGTTCAGCCATAATCTGTTTAGAGTGTATCACATGCCAAACTGTTTTGGATCGTGGGCTTGCTTTTTCATTGTTTGGGGTTTTTTCTTCCCTTTTCCTATTTGGGATCCTTTCCTATGTGACCTCCAGTGCCAAACTGCAGTGCTGCCCCTAATATCTTTGGATAGGCCAAAACCACAGGGTTTCTTGATGACTGGTTTTGAAGAGGAAAGGGAAGAAAAGATGCTGTGCTTATACCTCACTTTCCAAACTAGCTGTGGAAATAATAACAAAAAAAAAAAAAAAACCAACCCCAACCGCCCTGCTGCCCCATTCCCTCCCTCTCCAGCATATACTTGATGCCTTTTATTCATCGTGCCTCAGAATGGTTGTAGGAATATCTGCTGTGTTCTTTTAGGACTCGCCAGAAATATCTTCCCTGGGGTCCTGCAAATCCCAACCTCCACCCGCCATCCACCTCTAATCGACGTGGCTCGGAGAGCAAAACCCCTGTGCTGCGGTGCTTCAGCCCAAGAGAAGTCGTTTTGTGGCAGGGATTATGTCCTTAAGGCGAGGAGAAACTGCACCCTGCAGCCCAAGTCAGGCTTTTTGGCGGCGTAAGGGCAGTCCCCACGTAAGGTGGCTTTGCCCTGCCTTGCCGCCGCGCTCCTGTGCCTCCTGCCCGGACCTGCTAGGGATGGATGGCTTGGGGCCAGTTTGCCGTGCAGCCCTTCTGCAGGGGTGCCCGCCGGAGCAATGCACAGCTCAGGGCTTGTCTCCTTGCCTTCTGCTGGGATCTGTAAGCGATGCTGCGGGTAGGGAACTTGGACTGACGAGCACCACGTGGAGACAGGCGTTTTCCGAAGACTCAAAGGTGTAATGATCTTGAGGGAAATTAGCCTCCACACGTAACTTAGTAATAATTTCTTGTTGCTGAATGCACCACTTTTTAAATGGTAAAATTTAAAAGAGTATGACAGGAAAAAGTGTTTATGTAGTGTATCTAAAACTGGAGAATACACATAGAAGCCATAATTTGAAGATGCATCTTTTACTGTCCTTTAGCAGCTTTTGCTGAAATGAGGGGAGGGTTTTCCTTTGAAGGATCTGTAGGAAAGAGACCTACTTAATACACAGTACATCCAGTTTGGAAAGAAGAGCATCTGAGTCAGGGCCCCTGAGAATTGAGACTGTGGTTGCAGGCAGTCTAGCAAGTCTAAATCTGTGGCATAGACCAAGAAACTCCCACTTGTGTAGTGAATGCTGTGCTCTGTTTTTATAAGGAGTGGTATATAAAATTATTAGGGGAAAGATGTAGGACTTGCTACAAGAGTACTGCGCCAAAATTATTGGTTTTTCTTTGTATTTCTGGAATAAATTTATATGAAAACATTTATTGTGCTATGAAAATGAAATGTGAAGAAGACGGCAATTTATTTCAAGAGATTCATTGTTATGTTAACTTGGCATATCTCCAGAGAAATTAATTTCTTGAACATGAAACATTTTCCTGGAAGATGTACATTTGTGGCATGTGGAATAGTGTGCAGTGGAAACACTTAACCAAAATTTTCTTTGCTCAGAAAAAAAAAGCCATGGTAGGATCTTCCCAAAATAGAGACACATCATTCATTATTAACAACAGTTAGGGAAATTAACAGTTTTACAAACTGATCTTTTTCACAGGAATTGCTCATGAACTCAGATATGCTGTTTTGGTCTTTTCCTAGCTTCATTTACATTGTACAGGCAAAGAGCATGCATTCTTATTCAATAAATAAAATTTTAAGTGCCCAGGAATATTTGCTGCATAATTTCAGTTTTAAGATTAGATTTGTCTTTCGTAAAGTAAATGCGCATGCAGGCTCCAATTTGTCATTCATGAGGTTCTGGTTTATTTATTTTATTTTCCAAACAGACAGACATGCACACACACATGTTAATGTAAAAACCAGAGTGAATGTTCATTTAAAATAAGGATTAAATTAAATCTTGTTCCAATTAAGCCCTTGGGCTGAGCTGTGGTAAGGCAGTTGAGAGGGACTTGTGACACACTATGACTGTGTTTTAAAATGTCTCTCTGAAACACACTGGGATGGTTTAACTGCACTATTTGTATTAGTCAAAAAATTCATCTTTAAAAACATTGTTAAAGTAAATGAATCTTGGCAAGTTTGTGAGTACACAAGGCTTGCAAATTGTCTGCAGGATTTCTGCTCAGGCTTTGGAATTTTTTATTTAAGTCTTTGGTGAGATCTGGGGAAGAGCCTAAGCAGTGCCCAGAGGGCACGGTGTGCAGGAGCAGTGGCTGTGCTGCCGTGAAATGGCAGTGCAGGCGCAGGGATCTGCACGGCGCGGCCGTGGCAGTGGTGGTGGTGGTGGTGGCCAGCAGCACGGCACTGATAGCTTTCCCCTCTTTGTCCCTCAGGATGTGACATGTGTGCTGATAACCGGAACGGCGAGTGCCCGATGCACGGGCCCCTGCACTCCCTGCGCCGGCTGGTGGGCACCAGCAGCGCCGCCGCCGCCGCCCCTCCGCCCGAGATCCCCGAGTGGCTCCGGGACCTGCCCCGGGAAGTGTGCCTGTGCACCAGCACCGTGCCTGGCCTGGCCTACGGCATCTGCGCGGCACAGCGCATCCAGCAGGGCACCTGGATCGGGCCCTTCCAGGGAATCTTGCTCTTGCCAGAGAAGGTTCAAGCAGGTGCCATCAGGAACACTCAGCACCTCTGGGAAGTAAGTTATCATGTTTCCTTCCTTGTCAAATTTGATCTTTTTGAAGTAAACATGGAGCGTGATTGTATGCAGTACTAGCACCAGAACTAGCCGTGAAGATAAGCAAACAAACCCACAACTCAAATAAACCAAGTAAGCAGGTTTGAAAATGTAGCCAGTGCAAGAAAAAGCCTTGCTATGATAAAGGTAGCCAGAAAACCAGTGGACAGCACAGAGCTTCAGTTGGTCTGCATGAGAAGAGCTGATTTTTGCAGGTGCTGTAATGTGTAGTAGAGAGTCTTGGTCAGAGAAGTCTGAAGCTTTTACAACACCCAGTGCTTTCTATATTTTGACCTGAGTTACAAGAGCTGATGGAGCTCTCAGGTCACAGCACCAGCTGTATCATGCTAGAGCGGTTGAGATGTAGTGCTGCACTGCTGCTGTGGCCCTCAGCCAGTCCAAGAAAAGATACTGAAATAAACCCAGGATCCTATTCCACAGCCTGATCCTTTGCAGTGCAACAGAGTTAGTTCTTGCACAGTTTAGTTCAGCTCTGGTCCTGTACCTACTGTGCATTCACTGAAGGAGGTTTCCAGTACTTTATGAAAGCCATTTTCAGATATCTCAAAGCTGTTGGTTTTTCTTTTTAAAATATTTGTCACTGTCTTAGAGAGTGATAGTTATAACTCAGGAAAAACCTATAATCTCCGTGTCTCAGAAAGAGCCTACTCTCTTCCTAGTCTTCTGCCATTAATTTCTTCTTTGATTTGTACTGGACGGTATAATTTTTTAGTTCTGCTTAGTCCTCTGTGGCTGCAATCTCTGCTTGCCTCAAAACTAACTGGAACAGTCGGTAGAAACAGGCCAATAGATCTGTGGTACTTGCTCATCTACACCAAATCCAGATCTTCAGAGTATAAGGAATCCATGAAGATGCAGCATGTTTTTGCTGTCTTCAGTGTGTGTACAGGGAAGGTGAATGGATCTTTGAAAGATACTTGGGGATTTGGAAGAGTTGGAGCTCCTATGCTTTTCCTGCATGTAAACAAATAATAAACAACACACTAGGGTCTTTGTCTCAAGGTATTTACCCAAAAACATCATTGTGGCAAGAAGATTTTCACATTAAAAAGACCAGTCTCATAAGACACCTGAACACGATCAGTAGAACTGGATGAATTGCAATGGTTGGGAATTTTGCTGCTGCCTCCAGTGGAGATGGCATTTCTCTTGCACAGCAGATATTGATAATTTGGATTTTAACCTGTTCCTACCAAAGCCCAGTGATTATAATGACAGTATTTTGGGATACTTATCAATCACATATTTTTTATGGACCACTTTATAATGATGTTGGAGTTCTAATTGTTAAGAAGGGTATTGTGATTTAGACTATTCCAATTAACAGAATATATAATAGTCAAATGAGGTTGTCAGGTCCACATATTACAATAAATACTGAAATTTAGATAAATTAAGTCAGATAATTTTTCCATAAATGTTTACAGCATGAGTTTAATTTTTAAAAACATATGAATTAGTTTTATGCAAGTAAAGTTGCAAATATTGACAATACCTTTTTAAACAAGCAAGAATTTTTATCATATTTCAGGCTAGCTTAAAAATGGTTTTGAAGCAATGAAAGAAGCTAGGGCTTTTAAAAAAATTAAAAGCAAAACTCAAAAAGATACTAAGGAAAAAAAAAACAGCCAGTACTATTGTATGTACCAGATTCAGGCTGTAAGTGCTTGTCGGCTGAGTTTTTGTGTGGGATTACTCTTGTGCTCTTAACACACAGCACAGATTTCCTGTTGGCTAGCAAAATGAATGCATGTATTTTAATGGAATTATCTTAAAAATAAGAATTCAATTTGATTTAATAATAACATGTTGCTCACGGTCTTGAATTATTTCTGTTAATGACAAAAACTGTTATCAAAGAAACACATATTCTAAGCTCTAGCCAAAATTTTGCTGCTTCTCATTTGTTTCGTCTTTCAGTTTGGCATACTTTATCTGTCAGAAGACCAGTGTTTAATAAAGAAAAATATATTAAAAGAAAGTAATCAGAAACTGTAATTTTACAGAACCTGATCTATGAAAATACATAAAAGCAAATGACAGTATATATCTAAAAAGTCTGTATTCATTTAGTCTACATGGTATAGGAGTGTGGATTAAATCACTGTGAATGATAAATAAATGTTTCATCATAGTCCCTTTATAAAGTTGTGACCTTAGTCCATTCTCTTTCACCAATATTTCCCACACAGCTGCAAATGCAAGTCTGTCTACAGATCAGCTGTTCAGCATTAGGTCTTGATAGACCTTATGGAGAGAATTTCACATTTTTAGTATCAAAAATTGCATTTTATTATTTTGCCCTCAGAACTGTAAAGTTGATAGATATTTGTTTTAGTTTACAGTTCTTTGTGCACACCAGGCAAACGGAAGGGCTATTGCAAACACTTTTAAGCATAGTTACTGTTTTGGTTGCTTTTTTCTTTATACTCTTTGTTGTGGGAAACATCAGAAGCACTGCATTTGATGTATAGTTCAATGCTATGGAAATATGCTTCAGACTGTCTGCACAAGTGTTCCCACCACGCACTCAGTGTTTGCTTTGCGTGTAATCCACACAGCACAGCGTACCGCGACTAAGAGTGAGTTACACGCCATTCCATTACCTCACAACAGCCTCGACACCTATGGGTGTTCATGGGAAATTATAGAGCTCACTCACAATCAGCCAAGATAATTTTTTATAACTTACAGAAAGATCAGTCTTTCAGAAAGCCAAAAATATTAGTCATTTCAGTTGTACTGCTTTTTTTTCCCCTTTGGCCCACTTCTATAACCAGAGTTTGCTTGTATTTTAAAAAAATACAATAAACTCTGATTTGTTTAAAACAAAAACAGGACTGGGTGTATTAAATAAACATTCTCTTTGGTAATACAGGCATTTATTCCAGCAGTGCTTCATAATGTTTCTGATCTCTTTTTTTTTTTTTCTATTTTGAAGTAGTGAGAATAATCCTTTTGTTATTGCAAAGAAACAGAGACTTTCTTAGCAATTAGGTCTTACTGATGAGAATGAGATAATTTTCCACTAATGTGTTTTCTAATAAAGAAGTGGAAAGGCACACTTGATTCCAACATATATGAAAACATTATCTCAATTATTAATGTGTCCTTACTCCCTGGAGATAAATTAATCTAGTTGCACATGGTTTCCCCTTTCTGTTTAACATCAAAATTTAATAAGACTAGACTTAAGGAATGTATATGATATACACTTAAATTCTATTAGAATAAAACACTGAGGTTTAAATGTGCATACATTTTAGTAGTCAAAATTTTTCAGACTCCCAACTTTAAACTGTGAATTCTGGAAACAGCTAATTTGTAAATGGTCTTTTCCCCTGCAAATGCAGCTTAGATGAAAAAACTTTTACTGACAGACATATCAAAGGATACAGTCTTATCGTTTCCTGTTCTTCATGTGCCTGATAAAGAGTTTGCTATATCTTTTTTTTTCTTTCATGTGTCGTCAAATAGCTATTTTTTTTCTTGCAACAGCCTAAAAATGTCAAATATATGATTTTACTTCATTTTGACTTTACTTAATTGAAATTTAGCATTTTTGGAAGTAATTTTTTATTATATGCGATTCCTTTTTACATGGATGAGCAAAATTATATGTGTGTATATATATATATATATGTATCAGGTTGTTCATTAGTAAATACAGAATGCTAAATCTGTGTAGCTGATTAAAAAATTCCCCCTCTCCCCCTGCTTCCTTCCCCCCACCAAATTAACTGTCACAAGAAAGTGTGCATGTCATCTTAATAAAGTACCATATGGGTACTTTTTGGCCTTCTTGCCTTTTGCTTCAACTGAAGCAAAAGAAAACATTGCCTTTGCCTTCTGCTGGACCAAGAACAGGCTTTTTGCTGGGATGCACTCTGGCCAGGGCCCATGCAGCAATACTGGACATTTTGGAACAAATTAATATACACAGAGAATCCTTGTGCTTCAAATGAAGCACTCATTGCAGTTATGGTGATAGATTCTTATCCAGATTCTCAAGGCTGCAGTTTTGGACTGAATTTGCTGTTACAGAAAAGCACTGGGGGATAGAATTATGTGCGTACTGTCGTTCTATTAAAGTAAAAATTATGTTTCTCAGCAATCTGTCATCTAGTATTCCAGACTGCTTGTCAGCTCTGTTTTAAATTTGTCATGTGCATGAAATTCAAGTAATTTTGTCTTGAAAAACCTCCTTAGTTACTTTCCTATTGTGTCTTAAGTTATTCAGACTAACAGCTGGTGCCATTCTGTTATATTTTTGTTTTGCCATTTCTGAGGATTTTGTGTGATGTAGCACCCTTGCATTTATTTTCCATTGAAAAAGACCAATAATTTTTATTTTTACATGGATTTTAAATTCCCTTGCTGTGGGAAAATATCACTAATGTTGTGGTCAGTAGCATGCTAAACTGTAAGCTCAGTAAGAGGACTCCATTTGTGTACCTCAGAAGAAAATTGTGCTAAACATCTACAAAGCAGCCTTCTATCGTTGGTATTTCTGAATCACTTACTAACACATTTTCCCAGATAACTTCTATAAATTACAAAGTCCTTTCTTAAGGTCCATAAAAAGTTAGTGTGATCACAAGTGTGGAAGGTACTTTATTTTTAATAATTTTAGTTCTTAGAAGAGCTAAACAAAACCCTGATGCTTCTTTTAGAAGACCTGTGACTTTTACAAGACTTTCTTATGCATTATTTTAATGTATCTCCATGTTTTTGGTATGCTTTTTCTGTCTACAGAGTGTATGTGTAGTATGCCTAAGCACATGTGCTACAAAATTAATCTAATTTGGCATGGGGACAGATTTTCTTCCTATTGAACAAATTGAAGGTTGGAATACACTTTGGTGTTTGGAGTTGGATACAGCCCCAGAATTTTAAGAGTGTTACTGAAAACAGGAATTCTGAGGACTGCATGGAACATG